ACAAAAAAGATTTGATCCGACACTGTTGAATAAATCGAATAAAAATTTATCCGAATCGATTTGTGTGTTAAGTGCTTTTTCATAGTTTATCGATTTGTTTCTTCCATATTCATATTTTTAAATGTTGCACCGGAAAGTTTGTTACTTTTGGATAGTTTGATCATCGACATATAACTAAATAATCTTTCTATGGATGCAGAAGAAGGCATTGGCAATTTTATAGTTCCATAAGTATGTAACGGAGCGGCATCCGTGGATGCAGGCAAGATGCAGGAAAGAAAGCGACACGATTTATGAAAATAACAAAATAACTTTATTATTTAATACACATAAACTATGTAAATTAAACAAATTATCTGCCTCTCCAGGTGAAAAGCTAAATCTACGTGATAGCGTCGACCACCCTCGCCTTCGGCGAATAATTTTGTATACGACCTTGCAATATTGGTACTAAAATATCTTGTAAACTAATCATTTTTTGACATGTGAGATCTAATATTGTTTCGTTCGAAGCGATGGACCGAATCAATCAGTCTATTCAACATTACATGAATTTTTCGTTTTCTTTTTGTTTGAAAAAACAAAGTTGCCCTGTTCGCGTCCACTTACAGAAAAATGAATTATGTCATCTCATTTCCCCCTCAAAACCATTTAATTCTGTGGGTAACATTTTTTTATGCTGTGTGCAATTAACAAGTTATTTTCATTTATACATTAAAATTGGACATGCTTTATAATCGGAAAGGAGACCAACGAAAGTCAGTGACGCAAAATGTACGTAACTTACACTTATCGACGCACCTCTGACACTCGGTCAGGTGATGCGTCCTCTTAAACTCTGGTCTTCCTTTTTCAATAGTTGCGGATGTCCCTTTCCCAGACTCCTGTAATGGTTCCATCGCTAGGCTTCGCGAGCCCTCGGTGCATTGATGGCCTCAGTGGATGCGCTCAGGAAACAAAGAACCTTCTCTGGTGCACGATCAAGGTATCTCTCGACAAGCTCCTCGGAATTCGACTCCCGGCGAAGCCGCTGTTCGCTTGCTCGTACTTGCTCGTGCTCGCCCTTACGCTGTGACTCGCTCGGGTTTGCTGGACGAACCAGTAGGGCAATATATAGAACAGTAGGGCACTGTACCCTCATCCTGATACCTTGCCCGGTAAACAGGGATGTTAAGTTCCTGCCGGAAATTCGATGGTAACCCTAGGATGTGAACGGTAGCATCAGTGCCTTTGGGTAGCAGGTGTGGGGAGCTTCTCACAGGCCGGTGACAATCCTGCGAAATCTACTCGAGCATCGTCGCGAGCTCATCATACTTATACTTGCGGGATCGCGGCTGATCGGTGATAATTTGCCACCGCCGCCGTAGTGGAGGACGCTCGTATGCTGCGCGTCATACGTCGCATACGTCGCAAGTAATAAAAATTGAACCGATCCTGAACGTATTCGTATATATATATATAAATACAAAACAAAAACTGCCAACAATTATTCGCAGTATTGTTCGAATAAAGAACTATTGGAATGAAGAAATATATTCGATTAAATAGGTAGAATAATTTATAACAAATAATGAATTCGATAAAATATTCAACTAAAAAGAATTCATTCAGATAATTATTTTAGATGAATCGTAACAATTCGAATAATACATAACTCTGATTGGAACATGATAGTGTAAGTGTGTCAATTACTATGCCCTTCCCTAGTTACTGTGTACTCACAATAATTTTACTTACATTTAAAAACAGTATTATTAAATTAAAGATATTGAATGTTTTAAATAGAATTTGAAATGTAATTTTCATAACCGAATCAAAACTTCAACTTCTTAAGACTTACAAAAAAATTTAAGAAACACGTTGTAGATAAAGATGAAAAAAATACAAAAATGGTGCTTTCCAAAACAAAGACATGAACTATTAAATCTATAAAATTCGTCTAAATTACAGAAAAACAATAACGTAATCGACTTCTTAGATAAATTTTGTTCTCATAGCAAAGGCTCCGTAACTAACACAAAATAATTAACTGTTCTATATGTAGCGCCGTGCTTTTACGACGCCCTTTTGACGCGCGGGGATCGAACGTCAGCCCTACCGGGGTTGTAAGGCCCGGGCTTCACTTGTCTGAAGACGCGTCGGTTTTGTAATGGTTATCGGTCCGAATGACCGATTTTGAGTGAATGAGCGATTGAATTCCCGAGTCGAATGAGTCTCCGGTTGCGACGAGTGAGTCTCCGAACGATTGAGACTGTTCGACGCACGGGTGAGACTCCGGATCGAGAATGTATCTTTTTGAAGGCGACTGTAAGATGGTAATATTGCTTGAAAACTACTGAACCGCTCTTGAACCACTACTCTCTCGCCTCGACTGCTCGCGTTTTTTATACCCTTTTCCCCACTTGAGATTCTTGAAGGAACCTCCACCTCCATGCCTGGATGCGCTGATTGGTTTTCTCGAAAATTACGATTTCCCAATCAGCGTCCTCCGAACGTTTCGTCACCACCCTCTCGTACCGTCCTGCACGGGCCTTGTCTTGAAGAGGGGTGCGACACGTAATTGCGTGGTTGGGGAGGTCCTCCGGGCCTTGAGATGTCATCCCCGCGACGGTTGGGACTAACTTTCCCAAGACACGTTCAAAAATCTCAAGTGTTATTGAGGGAGGTTTTTTCGGGCCTTTTGGATTTACGACACGTCGCGATCATTAGAAAAGACGGAGACACTGCCCGGATGTTCGGCAGCTGCCAAAAAAGGTCTCCGTCTCCTCAGATGACCCACGCTGGTCCGTGCCATAAACCCTTCACGAGAGAGGTCTGCGGGAGTCCTACGTGACGGAACACTATATATTTTGATAAATATTTTGTGTTTTTTATATATTCCAATTATGCAAAAAATCGTACTTATATGAAAGACTTGAAGCTTATAATTTGAATGTTTTAAGAATTGAAGAAATTCGGATGTTATGCGTCACTTTAATGGGCACAGTAATTGATACAGTTATCCTAGCTCACAGTAATCACTGTATGAAAAAAATGGTAACGTCTTTCTATCTCATATCACATTCTCTTATATTCGAATAATCTCACAAAATAAATCGTTACTAGACTGCGAAGCTTTGTTTAGAATAAAAATTTGTCTGGTCGCATCTACAAAATAGAGAAATTGAATAAAAATAGATTTTTTCTTTGAATAATCCTAATAAATTGAAGAGACTGCGACAATATTCTGAAATTTTTCTGTGTGTCTTCACAGTTTATTATTTCATATAGCCATTTTCCTCATACTCATGCGTCGTTCAATGAGCATAGGAAATAAGGTTCAAGGGAAGCCGTAATAAATATAAATACTTTATTTCTGAAGAATGTTCTAATTCGAAATTTGCTCGCTGAAACGTTTCAGCTGCGCACGCGAATTCATTCTGCCACTGTTCCGATAGTTCTTTTAACTCACATTCTCCCTTTGCCTCTTGTCTCCAAAAAGCAAATAAATAAGTTGAAACTATCTGATCTCATCACAGGTCTACTGGGAGGTTAATATGCACTCCATCCAATCTCGCCGACTCAGATTCCAACAGAGTGGATCCCTCGTCGGGTTTCTTTTATCTTTAGACGTGTCCGACTCACCTCCGCATTCTCTCACTTCGCTTTTCTCTATTTCCATTTTCCCTTACGTTTTCCTTCCATTCTGTGGGAATGTTGCGCATGCATCTTTGTTCGTTCCACTCTACCATACACTTGCGATCTGCCGAAATTCCCGTCCCAAGATCATGGCGCTGTCTAGGAGACAATTGGATGCGAATTGCAGCGTTACGGTAACTACCACGTTTCCTTTCAAATAATTTTAATAATCTCGACAGGTGCATTAATTTTCTATTAGAAAAATGCTAGTGCGTGCTTTTTGAAATGAGAAAGATTTTAGTAGTGCGTGATATTTGATTATAAGTCTAAATGCTATTTGGGCACTGTTTATGAGTTATATTTTTTGCAAGAATTCTTAACGTAATTTGCTGCAATAATTTATGCATACTTCTATACAGTTATTATTAATTCTACACTGTCAATGCCATTGCCGATCCACTTTATTCGATAGACTATGTAGATTTTATTATTGTAGTATGCTGAAACAAAATATAATAAATATTTTCTGTTCAAGAGTCTTTTAACATCTTGACAGTGATAATTTTAAGAAAAACGCTGTTCATCCTTACTTCAGAATGTCTGAAAAATATATACTAATTTTTTCGGACCCGAAATAATAAGTAGTTTAACCGTGACAGCCGTTAATTTTCTTAAGCGCATGACATCTCACGTGTCGACTCGTAAAGCTAATTTAATAATAAATAATCGCGTTAAAAAACATGCAGGATATGTTTGTTTAAGAATTGTAAAGAATATCATTAACAGTAAACTCACCCATTTAGTTGAGGATGCGTTTGCTGTTCGAAATTGTGGGTCATAATGTCGGTGCACTGACCCCGTACAATGTACAGCTGATCCCAGGCCAATGACCGCAGCGCAGGGATATAATTCGCATTTTCGTTAGGAATTTTACCAATGTAAATGCGGAGTCGAAAAGACAGATTCACTCAGTAGCAGACTGCGCCCCGTGAAACATCGTCAGTGTCTTGCGTTAAAATGTATGCGGTTTAAGAAGAATTTAGCATCACGTTTAAATAATCTTCTTTATTTGTCTTGCTTCACAATTTTTTTTCCTCGCAACGTTTTATAACAGTATTTTTGATACGCCAATGTCACATAGTTCCGTGTGATAAACTCTGGCGTACAGACTAACACGTAAAATTCAGCTATTCCTAAAAGGTAAATATTGAACAATCGTTTTCTTTTTCTACCGAAGCATTAACATAATTTTGATAATACAGTTGGACATTTTCGCATTTCGATATCTCTGCAAAACTATTTCTACAAGAAAACAATTGTTTGATTGAAAAAGAATCGAAGTTTAATTGGTTATATCGAGGTTGATTAAATATTGAGCCTAAATGTCAACAATATTATAAATTACCAGCTTTTTAGCAGCTAGGTAATTATTACTAGCTGGTAATTTACAGATATTTATGCCGCGTTTGCGGCTACGGGTACCACGCTTTTGTCCACAACTACTGCCGAAGATTCGTTACGGTGTGAATTGGAAATCACATACCGTTTCGCATTCAATTTGCTCGTCTTTGGGCCGGAGAAGTTTAAATTTTAATTAAACTTCGGACATATTCGCCACGGAAATGTTGCAATTACGTGCTGCAAAATGGTTACATTACCGATTCGAATTAATCGCCGGTGTAAAATAAGAATGATGTTATGGTATTGATCGAGCGCTGATTAATTATTGCTGTTGACTGTACAAAGCAAACTCGTTAGCCATTTGCATAATGCCTTGTGGATGCGTTTGCATAATGCATTTTCCAACAAAATACTGTAATTTATCCCGCTATTCTTCGCGTGAACGTTTAATGTTTCGAGTTGGTAACATAGTAAGGTTTCAACATTAGTATTGCAAATCAAAAAATTATTTCAATGAACGCAAAACGAAATGACAATTTCCAATTACTTTGATCGTCGCAAATTCGTCATATTCAACGTCGTGTCAACTAGTTCGATTGCACTCGAACTGAACGGTTTCAACTACGTCGAAATCGTTTTCTGCATTGATTTGCAAAGGCTGTAGAGCACCTGTAGCATCTACACTGATTTGTACAACTTGTGATATCAAACCTTATTCTAAGCGTGTCGGAAGAAAAGGGCATCCCTGGGCCCATGGGTAGTTTATTGATCGTGGACTACATAGTACATCGTCTCTACGCCAGAAGAATCGTTACAAAGGGCCATCCAAAACTTTATCAGGACTTGACACGAAGCTACGTGCAGAACTAAAGGCTTTACATCACTCTGGTTTCACAAATAAAACAACTCGATACGTTCATGGAGTTCCAAAAATTGTCACAGTATCGTCTTCTTTCCAACTAAGAAACTAAGTGCCGTGCTATCTCTTTCCTCTAGTCTTCCCCATTCCTACGATATAATTATCTTTACTGGCTGCATGCTAGTATTTCCAGAACAGAACTCGGTTTGTCATCCTACAATATATTTCGCTGCGGTAGATGATGCTTTTTATGTCAAATTGGATTCACATCTGATCCAACTGAACAACTTTTTGTAACATTACGGCTCGGCTCAAGGACAGGCTCTGTTTACATTTCCCACAATCCTCGCACACTCATAACCAGCACCACTGCCACTCTGTCAAAAATCTCTTCAACTATTTTCCCTGCGCTGATTTCATTATAGCAGGTGATTACTATATTTCTAACTTTTCACATTCATATAACCTTCCTCTAGATGCCTAGCTTTCCTCTATTACTGACTGCCACACCTCTCTTTTGACTCCTTCACCCTCCAGCATTATTCGCGATTGTGCCCATTTTTACAATTTAAAACAACTCAACAATATAGTGAATGGTTACAACAATATTCTTAATCTCGTCTTCTCTTTCCATCACAGCTTTTGTACTACTGCTTTCTTAGATTCTGTTCTTCCAGAACGTCCATATTATTCTTCCTTGTCTTTCACCTTCCTTTTCCTAAACCCCTCTTCTCTCCTCGAAATTCAATCCATTACTGTAATTTCTCAACAGCTGATTCTATTTCTATAAACGAATACCTCGCTTCCATATACTGGGACTCCTTACTGTCCCCTTTAACACGTTGACTGCCATGCGTATTTACAACAAAATCTCCTACAGGCCACCCGTGCCGCTATAGGAAGCGTGCACTGTTAATTCATATCTGTTTCTGTTCCTGCATGAACAGTTGGAATCTTTGCCGAGTACTGAATGGTATAACTTAAAATCTTAGTGATAATGAATGTTATGAAGATACTATTGACGAGATTTTACGAGAATTGGTCATGGAAGAAGAAAGAAATGTTGATGATACTGAGGAAGCTACAGTTCAAATAAAAGATACGAAATGGGCCGATCACAGGCACGAGCATATCTGAAAAAACAAACATCTTTTTGTCCAAGCTGTTCTGATCAACCTTAACTTTGCAGAGAATGTTTTAATGTTATACACTGTGAATAATATTTTTAATAAACCATTTTTATAAGAATTCAATAGTTTCATTACCTCCTGTAGAATATTTGTCGAAATATTTTCGGAAATCCTTTGTAAGTAATCAAATCAGCGTCACCCGAATTACGGGTGACGTGGCCTGATGAGAACTTTTGCTGTCACCCGAACACGGGTGACGCGGCAGTCAACGTGTTAAATATTAACGATGCTGTTACAGTATTCTATTCTCACCTAAACATCATCCACTGGCCGCTTTGCATCCCTACGCGCCTTCTCTACGTCAACTTACCTTATTTGGTTATCTCGTAAGTTAACTTTACGCACTAAACAAAAGAAGATCGCTTATCGTCGTTTCAAGATTATAATTTTCTACTCCAATTGCACAGTCTTCTCATACCTTAGAGCTCAATGCAGTACCACCTCGTGGAAATACCGGTCCAGATCTGAACTTGCTCTCAGAACTGAAAGTTTTACGAAGCTTCCAAAAGACTAATCGTATCAATCCCATATATCGTTTAACAATAATATGTCCTTTCAACGACCAAACTTTTCAAAGACATACCTCTCTCTTTCACTTTAATAACACTATCGACCTAACAGCATAGAAATTACGATTAGTGACATTTCTTCTCAAATCAAACAGTTATACACTAGCAAAGTGCTCGGCATTGATGGAACCCTCCACTTTTTTTTAAATCATGTATTTTCTTCATGTTACGAATACTTTTTATTCTTTTCAACAAGTCTCTTATCGCTGATTCCTTTCCCTCTTTATGGAAAACTTGTACTGTTCCTCCCATCTTTAAAGGGGGGGATAATACACTTGCCACCTCATATCGACCAATCTGCCTCCAGAATATAATACCGAAAATATTTGAGAGCATAATTATCAAGAAACCGTCTTTTCTATGCAAAAATTTGACCCTGAAAGAACAACATAGTTTTGTATCCGATCGATCAACATTAACCAAACTTCTACCATATTGGTCTTCAAATTGACTCTGTGTACATTGACTTTCGCAAGACTTTTGACACTGCCATTCATTCCATCCTCCTAGTCAATCTTTATGCTCTTAGCATAAAGCTTCCTGTTCTGGATCCCCTCATACTTAATAGACCGAACTCAAATTGTCAAATTTCACAACAGCCTATCTAAGGAGATTACGGTATTATTTGGAGTATCCCAAGACTCTCATCTTGGTCCGCTCTTAGATGCACTAATCATAAATAACATATCCGTCGTTTTATTTGCCTATTCTAAATTTTTATTATACACTAATGACCTTAACGTATGCCAATCTATGCAGAATGCTGTCGATGCCACACTTTTGCAACTTAATCTTGGTAGTCTCTCCACTTAGCGCACTCTTAATAAATTGAGCTACAATTTATCCAAGTGACATATTATACACTATTGTTCGAAAACATTCGTGACCTTGGCATCTATTTTTCTAGTATCTTATCCTTTCACTACCACCTACAACATATTGCTTGGTCTATTTTTAAAACATTTGGCTTCATTTTTCACACTTTAAAGTTACTTTCTGACCTAGGCACCNCTTTAACACGTTGACTGCCATGCGTATTTACAACAAAATCTCCTACAGGCCACCCGTGCCGCTATAGGAAGCGTGCACTGTTAATTCATATCTGTTTCTGTTCCTGCATGAACAGTTGGAATCTTTGCCGAGTACTGAATGGTATAACTTAAAATCTTAGTGATAATGAATGTTATGAAGATACTATTGACGAGATTTTACGAGAATTGGTCATGGAAGAAGAAAGAAATGTTGATGATACTGAGGAAGCTACAGTTCAAATAAAAGATACGAAATGGGCCGATCACAGGCACGAGCATATCTGAAAAAACAAACATCTTTTTGTCCAAGCTGTTCTGATCAACCTTAACTTTGCAGAGAATGTTTTAATGTTATACACTGTGAATAATATTTTTAATAAACCATTTTTATAAGAATTCAATAGTTTCATTACCTCCTGTAGAATATTTGTCGAAATATTTTCGGAAATCCTTTGTAAGTAATCAAATCAGCGTCACCCGAATTACGGGTGACGTGGCCTGATGAGAACTTTTGCTGTCACCCGAACACGGGTGACGCGGCAGTCAACGTGTTAAATATTAACGATGCTGTTACAGTATTCTATTCTCACCTAAACATCATCCACTGGCCGCTTTGCATCCCTACGCGCCTTCTCTACGTCAACTTACCTTATTTGGTTATCTCGTAAGTTAACTTTACGCACTAAACAAAAGAAGATCGCTTATCGTCGTTTCAAGATTATAATTTTCTACTCCAATTGCACAGTCTTCTCATACCTTAGAGCTCAATGCAGTACCACCTCGTGGAAATACCGGTCCAGATCTGAACTTGCTCTCAGAACTGAAAGTTTTACGAAGCTTCCAAAAGACTAATCGTATCAATCCCATATATCGTTTAACAATAATATGTCCTTTCAACGACCAAACTTTTCAAAGACATACCTCTCTCTTTCACTTTAATAACACTATCGACCTAACAGCATAGAAATTACGATTAGTGACATTTCTTCTCAAATCAAACAGTTATACACTAGCAAAGTGCTCGGCATTGATGGAACCCTCCACTTTTTTTTAAATCATGTATTTTCTTCATGTTACGAATACTTTTTATTCTTTTCAACAAGTCTCTTATCGCTGATTCCTTTCCCTCTTTATGGAAAACTTGTACTGTTCCTCCCATCTTTAAAGGGGGGGATAATACACTTGCCACCTCATATCGACCAATCTGCCTCCAGAATATAATACCGAAAATATTTGAGAGCATAATTATCAAGAAACCGTCTTTTCTATGCAAAAATTTGACCCTGAAAGAACAACATAGTTTTGTATCCGATCGATCAACATTAACCAAACTTCTACCATATTGGTCTTCAAATTGACTCTGTGTACATTGACTTTCGCAAGACTTTTGACACTGCCATTCATTCCATCCTCCTAGTCAATCTTTATGCTCTTAGCATAAAGCTTCCTGTTCTGGATCCCCTCATACTTAATAGACCGAACTCAAATTGTCAAATTTCACAACAGCCTATCTAAGGAGATTACGGTATTATTTGGAGTATCCCAAGACTCTCATCTTGGTCCGCTCTTAGATGCACTAATCATAAATAACATATCCGTCGTTTTATTTGCCTATTCTAAATTTTTATTATACACTAATGACCTTAACGTATGCCAATCTATGCAGAATGCTGTCGATGCCACACTTTTGCAACTTAATCTTGGTAGTCTCTCCACTTAGCGCACTCTTAATAAATTGAGCTACAATTTATCCAAGTGACATATTATACACTATTGTTCGAAAACATTCGTGACCTTGGCATCTATTTTTCTAGTATCTTATCCTTTCACTACCACCTACAACATATTGCTTGGTCTATTTTTAAAACATTTGGCTTCATTTTTCACACTTTAAAGTTACTTTCTGACCTAGGCACCTCGCCAAGAGCGCCAAATAGCTTTACTAGAAAGTGTCCATGATACAATCCCTATCGCACTTCATGTCTTATGTCCATATTTTGTCATAACTATGACCCTTTCCTGCTATGCTTTGTGCTCGATAGATTTAATTCCCGCCGATCCATGACAGACCCAGTTTTTATTTATTAACTAATTAACCACAACATTTCTTGCCCTATTAATCTCGATGAGCTCTCTTTCTATGCCCCCATGCGTATTATTAGAGGACATTTTCTCTTTCTCCCTGAAACACACTGCACACTTTATGGTTACCATAGCTGCCTCAGTCAACTTCTCTTAATTTCCAACCAGAGTATTGTCACATACTAGAATTTTTTTGCCGTTCATTTCTTTACTTCTTACAATTTACTACTTATAACACAGGAACTTGCATCCGTTGATCAAATAAATATTATTATTATTCATATCGTTTTTGCGCGGAACGAATATAATAATATTTAATATCGCTTTCCAATTAATTGAACAAGCCCGATAAATTATGCAGCAGGTTTTTACTATCGTGGCGCATGCATAAACGTACGTCTCATTTAATTTTCATCAGTCCTGATTGAATATTTAACGCACATGAAATTTTTCAGCACTCGGTAATTATTCATATCGTATATTGAGCGGAACGACAAGCGAAATAACTCGTTGTTATCTCGCACTGTTGCATGGGAAATTTTATCGGGAAACATCGATTTTAATTACGTCTCCAAGCAAATACATGACGAACTTTTTTTCTCGGCGACGGATTGCAAATCAACTCCGGAACGCTCAATAATTAAACGCGACTCCGGAATTTCAATTGACGAAATTGAAGGCCGAAAAAAGTGCCTTTACTGATTCGCTCGCCCAGTCGAAATCGCTTTCCGCACGAACTTTCATTTTAATAAACAACAGTTTTTCGCATTCGAGCGGAGTTGTCGAAAAAATAAATACTGACTGCTCGTTCGAGACTGATTTCATCACGTGTTGTGTTAATCGATGTTGATATTTGGAACACGATGCAGAAATTGATACTTCAGCAGTCGGCAGTGTGAATTAAATTACGCGTCTCGAAGTAAAAAATTGAGTTTTCATTACTGTTGAATGAAAACTACCTGCAGATTAAGATTATTGAAACATTATAAAGATATTCATTATTTTAGACACTATTTCTTACACAATTCGTGAAATCTTAATGCGCTCATTTTTCAAACAACAATGTTTTGCAATTATCTACTCATTTTTCCTATAAATACATAATATATACAGTCTACTGATCAATATCCTGAATACAGTTTTTCGTATGTACTTAAGATGAAGATACACATTTAAAAGTCGTTATTATATTATTGATTTACAAAATGTAATTTGCCTGTTTCAATTAAAAGACACAAAAGTCAATTATAAATTTACTTCGTGTTTTAATAATTTAGATAAGTTGAAAATAATATAGCAGCATTAAATTCTCCTGATGTTCTCATTGTTTTGTATTTCACCTACTGTACATCAAATTCGCATATACAATAAATGATTGTGTGCTTATGAGCGATTACGTTCGCAAAGATTACCTTAAGAAGATATTCATTAATTTCAAAAACAATTTGTTAAAGAATTTGTGGAATCCTAATGCACTAATTTTTGAACCCACAATATATATATTCCATAATTAAACAATCTGAATTAATTTTAATATTTTCTATTGCCTTCATGAGTCTTGCAATGATTAAATTTCTCTGTCGCAGTGCGTTAACGTTTATTATTAATAATTAAAATTTATGTGATGCTTACACAATATTCATAGAAGCTCCAAAAAATTGTGTACGACGAGGAAGGAACATCCAGGTTCGAAGTCAATCGTGACGATAATCGATTCACGAGCACCATAATCCCTCACGAGATCGCGGGCACTAAAGCTAAGTGTCCAGTTTCAATTTTAATCATTGTTTAGTGAGAATTGACTTAGTCGATTAAACACGTTGTCTGTTTGCGACAGCTT